ATAGCATTTCTTTGTAATAGAAATAAGGAGCATTCGTTGTAATTGATTAGAAAAATCTTAAAATCTTAGCAAAATAAATCTTAAACACAAATTGTATTATTATTAAATTTTAATTTTTGTATTATTATTAAATTAAATTAAATTGTTATTAAAAAAATAAGAATAAATTCATTGTTAAAATATTCTCTTAAGTTATTTATCTAAATTATTTTTTACATTCGAGAATTTTTCGAATTACAAAAAGATTCAAATATTTCATGCTTACAAAATTCAATTTTTACGCTTTATTTTTTCGTAAAATCGTATCTTTCGCTTAATAAATTTAGAATTTAAATATAAATTCAATTAGATTATTAAAAATTAAATAAATAATAATTAAATAAAAATTAATATCCTCAATAATTTTTCTATATTTCCAATAATTTATGAAAATATAATCTCGATCCCCTTAATTAATTTCAATTTAAAAATTATCGTTACGAATAAGAATATAGCACTTACGTGCTTATATTTTCAAAATCAAGATCTCTATTGTCCACGAATTATCACATATCAATCATCGCTAATCCACAAGCAAAATTAAAGCAAGATATTTAAAGAAACAAAATTGCCGATAAAGGTGAATATCAAATATAAAGTAAAATTCGTAACATAGTTTGAAGGTAAAAAGTAAAGGAAGTCAATAGAATCAAGTGTAGTGGTCATAAGATAAGAGACAAGAGTGACATTTCTCGATTTTAGGCGAGGAAAAAGCGAGGATCGCGTTGCGCCGCTTGCTTCGTCGTCCGTGAAATCGAGTATTCCGAATTTTCCAGACGAAGTCAACTACCTACGACATCTATGCTGCGACACAAGACATTACGTGCAGGTGCTTCCTCGAGTAGCTGACTAAGCTTACTTCGTAACGGCCAATGGCCATTCGTTCTCGACTCCATCGAGCTTACGATCCTCTCGGTGTCAAGTGGTCATCTAGCGAGAGTTAGGTGTTTTAAAAAAGGATAAACTTAAGTGCCGAACAGAGAGCAAGTAGCTAAGTGTGCGTGATCGATGATGCGATCGTTTCATACGAATGTCATTGTGTTCGTTAAGTACGCATTACGTCGTAATTTGAAAGTTCGATTGAAATCGTCAGAGAAGATGAATCCAAGTGAGTATTTAAATACGTTTGTACGATAGGAGAATTACTATTTGCTTAAAATTTAATCCTTTCGTTTTTTAGGTTAGGAAAAAATCGTTCAAATGTAAAAATTGTTAAAAGAAGATAGTTTTAAAATAATCATAAACAATATATTTGAACACCATGTGATAATGTTATAATATAATATAAAGATAATAAAAAATAAGATATATTATTTTAAAGAAAATTAAAATGCAAAATAGGTCAGATATACGTAACATTATCTAAGAAACGAACAAATATGAATGATACAGAAAAATATTTGAAACAAATAAAAAAAAAATATGTGTAGGGTATCGAAAAGCACAATGATGTGATATTTGTTTGACTTTGTAATGACCTTGAAGAAATATATGAAATGTTATTTTCAAGGTATTTACACGTTTCCAAATAAATTATTCATACTAAATGTGATGCTGGAAAAACAATTAATATGTCACGTATGTCTGATGCGTGTTAGTGAAAGTATTAATTAAAGTCAAATCAAACAGGAATGTTTCATTGATTTTTAATGAGCTATAAAAACAGAAATACGATAGAATTTGCATCATTTAAATATTCTAATATTCGAAAGTTATATTAATCGAACAATCTATTATCCAAACTGCACTTAATATTTGCAATATTAACAATGTTTTTTCTTAGCACAGTAGAAATGGAATTTAATTTAAAATTGATATTATAAACGCTCATATAATATAGGCTTTTGAGTAAGAAGAAAGAACATCTTATAATTATATAAAGGGTTGAAATTAACACAAAAGAAAATTTTTAACAAATTATTTTTTTTTGCAAGTAAATTTTAAAGTCAATTTCATTCTTTTAAATGGAACCATTCATATATTTTGAATGTATTAGTTTATTTATTTGAATATTTTCTATAAAAAAAAATATTAATCTATTTATATACATCAATGAAAAACTATTGATTTAGGAGATATTTCAATCTAAATTTAATGGTTTCATGCTATTAAAACCCAAGAAGATAATCGCTTTTGATTGGCAGTTTAGAATAGGCAGAACAATCTTCAATACATAAAACACATCTATTTTTTTTTATTATGGCCGATAGACTTAATTAATGGTTAAGAAAAACTCATCAATAAATGAATTCTCATCACGTCACAAATAGTTAAGTACCAAAGCCATTAACTCATAAAATTTATATTCTGATTCTAATAAACAAATAATAAAAATTATTTTCTTTATTGGCTATTAATTAAACAAAACAGCTCTTTTAATTAAACAAAACACGAAATTATAATATACGGATTGAACAATAATAGATGTGATCATTCGGCATGTAATAATGCACAAGGATGATAGCTCTTCGATATAAAATAAATCAATAAATATATTCAAAATTATATTGTTTCGTTTAAAAAAAAAAATGAAGTTAACTTCGAAAATCTCACTAATTGATCTGCAAAATAATTATTTGCATAATAAAATATTTTAAACCAAACAACTTTTGTTTTGTTAAAACAATTTTTTTAATAACCCCTTAATGAAATATTTGATTGTTATTTAAACAAAATATCCTGTATATTCTCTTATATATATTAATTATATTTATCCATATTTTATTACTTCTATTTACTTCGTGACGTATTTACGAAATTTGACTCTTCCTAACCGATTGTATAAACTGCATATCCATTTCAAAACATTTGTTCCCCAATTTGTTCGAATAATCACCTGTTTTATTGTGAACAGACGATCATAAATATTCGATAATTTGATACGTGAGTCAAATCAAATCAATAAGAAATCATTAATTCAAAAGGATCTGTCTCTTCGATTAATATAAATAAATGCAGAAAGATAAAACAACAAATATTCGATAGGATCAGATCAATCGAGGTTTAATAAAGAAAGCTCTAAGTCTTCTTGTTTCGATTTCAGATGATATCTCGCTCGTGAAAATCACGTTGGGAGAAGAGGGTTGGGGGCATCAATATGTGCGAGCTGTTTTTGCGATACAAGTGCATATAGTCGCAGGATGCGCGTGCGAAGCGCAGGTTGCACACATGCATATTGGAAGGCTGGCCGCGGACGTGTTGGCATTTGGCATTGCGCCGCATATTATCCAAGGATGCACGAAATGCCTTGCCATTTGCAAACGGGACACGCTCGTTCGACGTTGTCGTTGTTGTTGCGTTGCTGGTGTTGCACAGTCGTCGTCCCAGCTTCATTCCTGCATGTTCAGGGCCTGTGACAGGGCGCGTTCCAACTCTCTTGTCTCTCGCCAAATGAGACAAATGTATCTTTTCAATAACGCTTTTAAACAACTTTCAAAAATTCAAATAGCCATTTCAAAAATTCTCTCTGGAGTTGCAAATGATGCGTGCAGCCTCTTCCTTCTCCTTTCAAAACGTATATACCGTTATAGGCCTAGAGTCAATCCATTCGAGCAGAAATAATTCACAGAGTGTCGATCGGTAGCTCGACGAATAAGCAAAAGTTGCTTATTTTCAGTAGGAAATTTTTTTTTTTTTTTCGATCGATCGATCGATAGATTGCATTTTTTCGAAAAAGATTACTCGAAATGTACGATTTGAAGTTGATCGATTCGGTTAATCGATTAAAAGTTATCAAATATAAACGTGTTTTAAACGCGTTCAAGTCGATATGCGATATATAGAGCATAAATGAATCGATCCTTGATGAAATGTTTAATCAATCAGTAATATAAAGACACTTGATTTGAAGTTAAAAATGTGGTTTAATGTGTTCAGTGAATATACGATAAAGAGCATAAGCGAATCAATGCTCGATCTGAAAAATTTGAAAAATTTAATCGATTGTAAAATATACAATAAACTGAAAAATGAAGTTTTCCTTTTACAATGATTCTTCAAAATTTGTTCTATGCTTTTTTTTTTACGTTATTGAACTTTGAACATTAAATGATGAAAATGGAAAAAAAGTTATTCAATAATCATAGCTAGTTTAATATATTTTATTTATTTATTTGTTTATCTGTAGTAAAATATATGATACGTTTAATCCACATATTCAAATTTATTTTATCATACGTTTTATTAATATATTTATTGACATTGGCAATTTGAATACATGTATTTGAACGTAAATGTTCTACTTAGAGCACCATCGTTAACCTGTTAATCTTGTTAAATTATTGCCAAAACTGAGTGGACTTAATCACGTTGTAAATTGGTACAAATCCATGGCTATAGTTAGCCCAAGATGCAAGTAATTGCTTTTGAATCGATCAATCATTCGCTAACTCAACAAGGGATATCTGTTATGAGTATTTAAAGATAATTGAATGTTTAAAAATTATAAATATTTATACGTGTAAAATTGAGGAACTGTTTTTTGCTTATTTTTTAAACTGTGTGCAAATTTTAATTTTTTTAATCTCTTTCACTATTATTTTCTATTCAACTGTAAAATATTGCATTTCAAATAAATCGATATCAGCCTTTCAAATGCACAAAAAGGCTGGAAAATATTTCGATAATTGGATAATTATATAATCTGAATGCTGAAGAAAAAAGAGATTAAAACTTTTGCACACGCATATTAAATAAATAAAAAGTTAATTATCGTAAAATGTTATCGACATACACTGCATATAATTACTTTTAGCTAAAAGATTTAACGAATATTTAATTTCATTTGAATTATCAAGCTAATGACTAAAATTGAATGTTCATCAACCAACTTATTTATATGATAAATATGGAACATTATATGATAAATACCATTTCCCTTAGCAAATATTTAAATAAATTACGAAATAAATAAATTTAAAGAGTAATTTATCATTATGAAAGTATGTTAAAATATTTTATCTTCAAGAATAATCGATAATAGTAATGTACATGTAAAAGCTTAAACGTGAAAGGCAATAGAAAATAAAATAATTTAAACTAGATCGCAAGAAATTTAAACACGATAGAAATAACTTGATTAAAAACGTAATTGTTCCCTCACATTTTTTCAAATTATATACATCCTGTAAAACTTGCTTACTCACCGTATCAATCTTTGCGGACACGAATTCAATCATTAATATTCTGGTTTTAGAAAGCTTACCTGAAACAAGAAAGAAACAGTACTTATATTCAACATTACATCTACGAACATTTGTGTGTGTTTAATTATATCTAAATTTAAGATCATTTTAGATCAAGTATATGCACATACAAGTATTTTAAGAAAAAAATATTATTTAAGTTATTAGAACTTATGATTATACTCTAGTTATTTATCATTTGAAAAATCATAATTTATTATAATGATATTAATATTAATATATATTTTTAATTTTATAAAAATTAAATAATAAAAAAATATTAAACAATTATATAAATATTTATATACAATTATACAAATATATACAATTATATAATAATATAAATATATGTATAATAAATTTTGTTTAAAATCCAAAAAAAATAAATTACAACTACCATATTTATATAATAATGTTATTTAAATTTTCAAATTAAAAATTTGCTAAGAAAGATGAAATTTTTATTTTATGCTTATAAAGTGATTTATAAATATCCTAAATTCTTTAAATAAAAAAAATATAAAAAAAGAATATATCAAATACAGAACTGATGTAATTCAAATTTAAAGATATTAATATTAAGTAGATTAATATATTAAGTATATATTAGTATATTAAGTAGATTAAAATATTAATACATATTAATAAAATAGAAAAAAGATATATATCTAAACAAAATTAATCTTATTTTATACATAAATATTTATATATTTATAATTATATTCAAATTATACGTCTTCCATTTTTATTTGTATTCTTGGAAAGATATAATAGAACAAGATTGTTCAGATGATGACAATATCCGCGAAATAATATGAAAAATTTCCATTTAATTTCCATTTATTAATATGAATGTGAACGGGCGTAATGTTCGGCCAGCAGCAACATCTAATAGATGAATCAACGATGCGTTGGAACAAATGCATCATCTACATGTTGATCGGGGTCGAACACCTGTGACCGATCTTTTTAACAAATTGCACAAATTTCATAATCTGTTGTGACAAACTGTTCTTCAGTTATTAATTTCGGTATCATTATTAATCATTATTAATTATCGGTATCATTAGTAATTGGAAATTATTCGCTATTATTAAATATAAACGTAATAAAATTATAGCTAGATCGATCATTCTATTTTATAATTAAAATTAAATATTAATGATTACGTTATTTTTTTCTAGTGTAATCTTAAATGGAAAATGGAAAAATTACTGAACGTTATTTATATTTAAATTTAACATTATTTAAAATTTAAAAACAATTTAACATTACAAAACTCGATATGATTATGATGATATTTATACAGAATGTTTTTAAATTCACTCGAATATTTATCAAACTATTGAAGATACAAAAAAATGCTTCGAGTAAAAATTGAATGGTTTCAAAAGACATATAATTCGACGTGGTTAGTTTTTTTTGTAAGTAGAGGTCAATATAAAAAGAATAAATAAAGAACAATTTTAATTTCTTAACTGTAATCACGTAATTTTTATTTATTTTTTATTTTTTTTTAATTTTTATTTTTTGGCAATTGATCAATTTAAATGAGATCTTTACAACAGATTATTTATTATGTTATAATATATAACAATACATTATAAATATAAATTATATAACAATACATTATTTTTTTTTATTTTTTAAGTAACTTTAATATAATATAAATTTTACAGTATTAGATATTATAATAAAAATATTTGTATTTCAATTATTATTTTTATATGTATATATTAATACAATTATTAATAATAATTTCTTTAAATCCATTTCTCAATTCAATTATTCGATTCTTTTAAAAAAATAGAATATAATTTCTCAATAGATACGCAGTTTCATTAGTCAGAAAAGCTAAGATCATGAATCATGGTTGAAGACAGAAGCGTACGGTATCGAGTGCAAAGGGTCGTGCGAAACAGGTCTAAAAGAAATGCGATTCATTTATAGACCGTTGAAGATGACGCTCCATCGCTTCTAATCCTTCATTTCTATTGCTAACAACGTTGGTACCACGATATCAAAATCGTAGCTGGACATAACGGTACCGATTAATTCGCAATAAAGCGTTAGCACGATCCTATCAATCATGTGATACATCTATTGGACGTACAAGTGTTTCTGCTTCTTGAATAAATACGAATCTTTAATGAGAGAGAGTGGAGAGTATAGAAAGTGTGCTGTAGTAACAGCAAATCGTTATTCTTATAGTATAACAATCAGTTATTATACTCTGATTAATTAGTAATATTCTTAGCTTACATTTTCACATAAACAAGATCAAATTTAATTAACACGTATTTAATTTTAATTAATACGTAAAAAATATGTCGTGTTATATATACTTAAAATATATGTTAAAGTATATAGTAGTTACAAAACGTAGGTAATTTTATTACATAGATTTAAAATATGAAATTATAAAATTATAATATTGTATAAAAAAATTTTCTCATGATTTTCTTATAAATTGCCATTGTTTATCTGGAAAGAAATTGTTTTACATATGTTGAATTTTCTATTACTTTTAAACTATTCAAAATTTTTTTCTATTTTCAATATTATATCATAACCAGAATTTTTATTTTAAAATATAATTAAATGTATCTATAATATTTTATTATTATATAAAAAAATCATTGTAAAAAAATAGAATGGTAGAGTTGAATTACATATAAAAGTTAATATAATCTGATAAAGTATTTATAAAAGTTTTAAACTCATTCGAGAATTTATATTTGAAATATGGATTATTAATTTCATCTTTTAAAAGGTTATAAGAAAAGGCTAATAAAAGTTTCGAATCTATTTGTGAAATTTTTGATCTCCATGAGATGTTTAGATCATTGAAAAAGAATTAATTTAGAAATTTAATATTTTTTAAGGAATTAAGCTTAAAGTGATTAAATAAATTTTAATTCTGCTTCTATCACTGCTGTACAATAAATTCTCAAATTTTTTGATTTGTCAATTTATTTTGTGCCTTCTATAAAAAGCTTTTTAACAAAGCATAATCTTATTTTATATGCAAATGTATATAGTATCTGGTATGGATATATACAATCATACTAGTATTAGAAGAACAATAATTAGTTTTTTACTTTCTGAAATTAATATTTGTTCATAATTTTTTTCTTATTTTCATTGTTGTTATTTAAAATTATTTTAATATTTTGTGAAAAAAAGTTTTATTAATAAAACTAATTATTAGAAATCTACTTTGAATATATTGAAAAATAAAAATGAAATAGAAAAATATTTATTTCAATAAAAAGTTTGAAAGTAACAATTGGTACAAATGGCTACATAATTTTCTAAGAGAAACACAGAAAAGTATAAAACTACAACAAGGTTTTCAAACTATTCTATACTATCGTAAATTCGAACTAACATTCGCATTCTAAATTCTCTGCATGCTAAACTTTTACACATTATCATTGTACGCAGTCTCGTGGTATAGAATTCAAGTATCTTATGGAAATTGCAAAAATACGTGTAAAAAATAGACATCCAAAAAATAGAAATAAATAAATGCAATTAAAAAATAGAATAATTTTCGAATCTATGTTTATTTGATTTTTTTCTATCCTTAGAAAAAATAAAATACGATATCAAAATGTAGTTACCTATTTTTGAACTTCATGCAGCGTTTATACACATAAATACTTAGTTATAAATACTTTACTTACACTAAATTACCAAAAAACATTTAAAAATTATAAAAAAAAAAAAAACAGTAATAAAAATTAAATTTACTAATTTTTCATATTTTAACTTTTCATACAAATTTTGTCAAAGATTTTAATTATTTCAATATGAAAGAAAGAAAATTATATGTATTACGTTAAATCTTTTCATCATCCAATAAAAATATCGGTGGATCTTCGTGAATAATTCCAAAATTGAAACACGGTTTGGTAAAGTGCCGAGTTGGAAATTTCAAAAGATGTCCCAGAATGCATCATCATCTCTCAAACTCCCATCAGCACGATACGTTTTGAAATTAATGCTCGAGCGTATTATCCCTTCTGCCGTGTGATATGAAATTCCAGAGTCGAATAGATACGTTTCCATCCGTAGAACGGAGCATACGTCTGGATGCACCAGCTACGCCTGTAATATCGTCTCAGTGAACTTATCACGAGCACGAGATTCTTCCTATTCGACGAATGCGCAATCTTTGAATAACATCAACTCGGTATTCGCGGATCTTGGCCGACACCATTTCCACCGTAATGGACTGGGTATAATTAAAAATAAATCTGATCCGTGATGCTTTTCTCTGCGCGAATGTTTTGTTTTTTATCGCAGTCGAGGAAAAGTTACGTATTATTATGAGATTGTGAATATTAAGCATAAAATCTCTTTACTTGACTTATGATTTATTATCGTTGAATAGTATGAAATAAATATTCGTGGATCTTCATCACAATTTCCATCGTGATCAAAATATATTAAATTTAACAGCGGCGGAATTAAAAAAAAAAGTCATTAGAACATTTTGTTTCGTGATTCGGGCAATGACGATTCGTATATATCGAAATATTTGAGTTTAAAAATTAAAATAATAATATTAATAAGTATTATAGTGTATGTATTTAAATACAATATTTATTATTATTATTATTATATTATTATTATTATTTATTTATTATTTATTATTATTTATTTGTTATTTATTATTATTTATTTATTAATTATTATTATTTATTTATTATTTATTATTATTTACTATTATTTATTATTGTTTAAGATTAGAACAAATATGTGCAGCTATTGCATTTTCGATTATTCACCTTAAATTCGCAAATTATTCGTTTGCATTTTTTATCAATATGTCGCAATCTATAATAATACATAGTTAACAGAATGTTGCTGCATAAAAATGCTATCTCTGCTATAACTGCTTTCAGCTGTCACTTCTTTCAATTCTTTTTTCATTGTCACAGAAGATTACGTCGACCGTGAATATTAATACATTCGAAGCCAAAATTTGAATGGAGATTTCCAATGGCGAATA